TATTTTTCTCTTAGCATTAAAGAAATCCATCAACCAACAATACATGCAGCAAGGCTCTGAGTTTAGTGATACAATTTCAAAGGAGGTGACTTTTTTTGAAATGAAGTTTTATAAAAAGAGTATTTAAATTTTTTCTTTGGGGACAATAGAGAGCATACATGAAAATGGCTATTAACATATTAATTTATTTAAGTGAACCTGGCATTGAAGGCTATCATTTGGGTGAAAGTTTGGTAAATTAGGAACTTCTAAGTAGAAGAACTCTGCCCCAACATTCAAGACAGTGAATGGGCTACTTTAAAAGATGCCAAACACAGGTTGGATGACTGTCTTTAGGGAGGTAGTGAGGAGATACTCCTGTGAGTGGGATTTGGTTTTCTAGAGATTCTCCTCAACATATTTTTTCTTACTAGAAGACACCAACAGCGAGGCAAAGAGGAAAAAAGTTCACACACTCAATGACTATGTTATCTAGTGTTACTGCTGAAGGTTTCGCAACCAATGTTCTAAGACCCAAGAGACCCATCAAGAAGAATCAAAATCAAAGGAAAAATGATGAGATTTATTTAAATGTGAAAAATGCTTGATTTTAATCACTAGGTTATATAAATATAAATGGTGAAACATTTACCCATAGAAGAAATATTAAAAAGATTTCTGTGTTTTAAACATGAGAAAAAATGTAGCTAGTCAGTTAAGTTTGGAAAGAGAGATGGAAAAACAAAGGCATGATTCTTTGTGGAAGACAGGAATGTAATAAAGTAACCAGCGGTTCATGTTATGAAGGAAAATATGGGCAACTGGCATGGATGGCACCATAGAGAACACAGTTTTTGCTCTCTTGAAAAAAATGAAATTATAAAGATTGGAGATAGTTTTCCTTTTTCTCTCTTTGAATGGATTTCCTAGTGACACATTGGGTACATTAAATCTGGAAAGGCCATAGTGCTTTCCAAGAAAATGTGCAAATATGTTAGGGCACTGAAAGGAGGAAAAAACATCTCCACTGTCTTCACTAGTGAACATAAATATGTCCTAGGAAAGCCAGGCCCTCCACTAGGAATAATCCAGTTAAAACAAACTCAGGACCTACTCATCTTTCAGGAAAGATGATACAGAATGTATCAACATTTAAAGGCCAGAAAGGAACAAGGTTTTGCAGGCTGTCTCAGAGTTGACTGTGACACAGATTGTGTCAGAGAAGAACTGTGCTCCATTGGTTTTCAATGACTCCTTTTTTGGAAGCAAATTGCCAGAGCTTTCTTCTGATACACCTATAAATAGACTCAAACTTCCAGTTTTTAGGTTAGCAGTAAAGTACAGTAACTATGTTTAGCCCAGGGGCCTCTAAATTGAACACAGAAAATGCTAAAGAAATATTTTTTCACTTGCTAAAGGAAATTATTACCTATTGTTGATGGTGATGGTGGTAGAGTCTGAGCTTCTGGGGCTGCAACAAAAGCAAGCAATATCAAAGGTTATGCTGAATAACACCATCTAAGCTGGAAATTAAATTTCCTTTGTCATAAAAAAGGTTTTCTCATTGGTGAATTATCAGAGTCACCAGTGAAGTTCAGTCACCGTACATCCTCTCCACAAACTACAATAAGTTAAAAATTCGGATTTTTGGTGCTGATTTTTTATTATTTCCCCATTACTCAATATTCAAGGAGCTCTGGTAGCGTAGTGGTTACAAATCAGGCTGTGAAGTGCGAAGGTCAGTAGTTCGAAACTACCAGCTGTTCTGCAGGAGAAAGATGAAGGTTTCTGCTCCCGTAAAGATTTACAGCCTCGGAAACCCTGTACAGGGTCGCTATGATTTGGAACCGACTCCACGGCACATCACCACCACCACTCAATATTCCGAAGTTTGCTTCCAGTGGCTGAGGAACTCCTAGTTTAAAGGGAGCTCAGGTCGCCTTTTGGAGATTGTTCCAATTGTCTTGTTGCCTGTCATTCTGTTTACAGCTGGGAAGTCAGGTTCTCCCAAGGACAAGGATGAAATAGCAGAGCTATGGGACCTACTACTGTTTCTGTGTTGCTAGCTTCCCCTATAAGGTGCAAACCTGTCAGTGAATGAAAGTTCACATATTTTCCACTAAAAGGAGCAGTGAAAAGATTGTTGTTGTTAAGTGTTGCCGAGTTGGTTCTGACTTATAGCAACCCTATAAGGGTTTCCAAGGAGCAGCTGGTGAGTTTGAACTGCTGACTGTGCTGTTCAAAGTGATTTTGTGGTCCAGTGCTTTTACCCACAGCACCTCACCAGGATTTTTGGTGATAAGACTGCATCTGTCAAAGGGAGAAAATTTTAAGACCTGGGAAAACAAGACTCTCACAGGTTTCATTGTAAGAAGAATCTACTCTATTGTTTTCTTTTTCTTTAGTTTCAGACTAAGACTGAGACTAAGAATAGAATCCCATCAATTAAGCTTCAAATTCAGCAACATCTAAAAAATACTCAGTACTAAAAACAAATACATCTGCTGTTAAGACATTCTGTGTATTTGACAAAGTATTAAAATAAAGGTATAAAATTCCATTAGAAAATTGAGCGGTATACAAATGACAAACCACTCACTTTAGTACAAAACAAAGAAAAATACAAACCACTCATGGCCTGTGGTTAGTAATGAGTATAATTTATAATTGTATCTACTACATAAGAGAATGATATCAAACAAAAAGATCTGCAATCAGAACCTCCCTCCTGTTTTTCAAAGTGCTAAAAGCTTGGAGACTTGAATGCCATTATAACCTTAAAGATTAAACCAGAAAGGAAACAATTCTTATTGGGTAAGGTAAAAATATTGGAACATGGAAGATGGCTGTGGTTTCTGAGACGTGCACTGGAACCTACATATAAAACAAACCCGAATCAAAGTGGATTTTTACTTGCTAGTTTCGCGACAAGGGAAAACTTAAGGAGCAAGGAAATTGAAAAAGAGAAACACAAAAATGTGAGGAGAGAGCTAGAAAAGGCAGTGAATTATTCCAATAAAAAAACTTTTGCGGCTTTACTTGCACTTCTGAACGCTAGTTAGAAAAAGAACCTTTCAGCAGAGCTATAAAGACATCTATCCTAAAAAAAACAAAAACAAAAACTAAAGTAGTGGTTTACAGAGATCCAGTAAGCACCTTGTGTTGCCTCGGGCCTCTCCAGATCAACCAGAATTGGTGCAGATTCCACGGTGGGTAGACTTGCTGATAAGGAAAAAGTGGACCTATTCTTAAAAGACTAGAAAGTAAAAATCAAAAGAATATAAACTCATCTTCTTCCAAATAATTCTTCAACTTTGAAAAGGAAATGTCAATAAAGGTGGCTCTTTGCTGAAACATCTTAGAATGGCAAAAATACATCTTTCCACCCTTATTTATATTATGATGAATTTTCTCTCTGAAATATTTTCTTAAAAGATCTAAAATAATGTACATTATTTATATATGTAACTGAAGCTTGAGGAAAATTTTTGATGTCTTCAAATTTTATCATGTAATAACTTTGGAGAAATGTTCATTTCAACATAATGACCTAAACCTCCAGTCATTTCTTGACCTGCTGGTAATAGTTTTCTATTTAAAACACAGCCTCAACAGATTAGTTATCACCAATACTAGCTGCTATTGAATCAATTCCAGTTCGTGAAGATCCCATGTACGTCAGAATAGAACTGGATTGGTATTTCAATGGTTGATATTTCAGAAATAGATTATCAGGCAGATTTTTGTGAGGTGCTTCAGGGTGGACTCAAACTTCAACCTTTTAGTCAGCAGTTGAGCATGTTAACTGTTTGTATCACTCAGGGCCTCCTTTAAAACCGTATCTAAACCCCCTCTAAACATAATTTTAATGAGTGTATAGGAAACTGCTGTCTCCTACAGCTGTCAGAGCCCTTTGATGAAAACTGTTGGGCTCTTCAGTTACTCTGCCATCCCTGAATCACTTCTGTGAATGGAGTTTTCATTCCATTTCTCTGTCATGTAGACCTCATCCATAGTCCCAGTGTCAGCGATGCTCTTTTTACCTAATCCCTCGTTTTTTTCAGTCTGACACCTACCTCTGCCTCTCCCAAAAGAGCTATGAAAATTTGTTTTCTGAGCAGGTGCATTTTTTTTCTTACCCATTTCATTGCAAACAAAAAGAAATCATGCCTAGCTAGGCAAAAATATCTAATTTAGTAATCCTACTAGTATGTACACATGTCAGTAATGGAAATGCAAACTCAAAATCCATTAAATGTTAATGGTGTGAAATATATATTTTAAGGACTTGAAATTTAGATGACCATAACAATGCAGTTGAAGCAAAGGTCCCTATATCCAAACTATGTAACAACCAGCATTTAGAACTGGTAACATGCATGAATGATAGAAAATATAAAAATTTACTCATTCAAGTCTGCCCTGAAATCCTTATGCAGGTAACTGTCAATGTTTAAGATTATACATTTGGAACAATCCTTCCCTGCAAAAGAATCTTCTTTTCTTTAGCAAAAGACTTTTAATATCTCCTGAGAAGTAAACAGAAATCAGCATTTAAAAATCAATCTCACTGTAGAAAGAAGGTTTGGTGCATCAGGAAATTATAACCCTTTTTAGTCTTGTAGCTTGTGAACTGAGAGGCCCCCAAACAAGGCAGAGTTCTTCAGAGATAGAACCACTTCTATCTTTCCAGCCGAAAGGCTACTGTGCCGTGTGAGCAGAATTCCATTCCACTTTGATATTGGAAAATATTTTGTAGTCCTAGACAAGGGAGCCCTCAATCATTCACATCATTCCATTCCTATGTCTTCTCTGAGATGGTCATGAATATAATGACCCACTACACAACTCAGAGCAACACTGTGATGATATCAGAGGGGCTGGCTATAATGAGCTCATCGCATTATATTTTTGCTCTTTCCATGGAAGAATGTATCAAATACTAAAGTATAAATCAGAAGTTCTTATTCCAGAGATGGATGATTTTGGAATATTTAAAAACAAAAGTTTAAGGTAATTACCAGCTTTGATGTGTGTCACTTCTGGGCTGAGAGAGAGTTTAGGTTTCAAAGAAATAAATTGTGTTCTACTGGGAGCTGGAAAAATAAAGAAACAAAATTATCAACAAATAACACCGTCCTTTCAGTATCATAAACCACAAAAGGTATGATACTAACTAAAAATTAACTGTATATGTTACGTGTAATAAATCTATCATTTTGGAAGATTTGGAAATAAAATTAAAAAAAAATTCATATTCCATTCACAAAGCAGCATCGACTAGAAAGGTAAGTATTGTTATAAATTTTCATCTTGTTTTTAAAAACATCTCAACGGTATATTTAACCCCTGTAGAAGAAAACCAAAGATATATCATTGCAACTAAATAGAAATCACCATAAGCACATAAAGATGGTGATTTTAATTTCATAATTAAAAAACAACAACACATTTATCTAATCAATTTCACTCTTAGTTTCAGCAGCAACATCAATTCTTAAGCACCAGAAAAATGTTTTAAAATTAATATGCACTGATAAGCAATTGCTTTGATCTAAAGTATAAAAAAATGCTAACATCATAATAGAAAGTCATTTCTCCAAATCAAGTCCGAAGTTGAACTTGAGGACCTCATTCAAAAACCAAAGAAGTATGTATAACTTCAAATTGAATAATTAGACAGAAGACAAGGAAGTAGTAATGGTGGGTCCAGCAATGTTTTAAGAAACAAGAGAATGTATAAATGCTGAGTTCAGATCTCCAGATTATAGGTCCAGCTATCTATAACCTGGATATTCATGGAGTCAGTGAAAGCTATAAATATTCAATATTATTCAAATGAACCACTTCAAATAGTATTGTGATATTACATAACAGTTGGGGGTATTGATTTTCCATCATAATTCATGTTCTAAGGACATATTATTATTACCAAGTGTTGTTGTTTCAGGCCTTGTGGTTCTTTCTGGTGATGGAAAAGGGAAAAGAAAAAAAAAAAAAGTTAAGATATCCCAGGGACAAACAAGATTTATCCGTAAAGAGGAACTGAATGAGCCTTTTAAAATCTTGCAGTATTTAATAGTCAGAATTTACAAAGTATCTAGTGAATGAAGGCTCTAGGATAGGATTTTTTTTGACATGTTCTTAACAATATAACCAATCCCATTACCATCTAGTCAATTCCAACTCATAGTTACCCTATAGGACAGATTAGAACTGCCCCCATAGGGTTTCTGAGGCTATAAATCTTTACAGAAGCAGCTGCCAAGGAGAAGCTGGTTGATTCTCATTGCCAACCTTTCTGTTAGCATCTGGAGCACATTAACCACTACTGCCACCAAGGCTCCTTCATAATAATATTGATCAAAGAAAATTTTATTTATAATGCTATGAAGTAGCAAAATCCAGTTTGTTTACCATGATCCTGAGAACACTATTTGAAAATAAATAAGAGGGAGCTTCAAAAGGCTGTGGGAAAGTTCCATTATCTTTCAAGTCTGTTTTTCCATGAATTTTTTGAAGCCTCCTTGTATTACTTCTGAGTTACTATCTCTACCACCAAAACTCGTGCCATAATATATATTGTTCCCTTCTCATTTTCAATCTTTGAATTCTAGATGTATTGTAAGTACTGCACTCTCAACTGTCTTTCTTTGAGCCTCTACACAAATCTCCCATCCTTTCCATCTCAGCCATTGTCCTAGTCCTAGATGCAAAGCTATCCACATAACGTTATTGTTTTAACGTGCCACTGAGTCAATTCTGATTCATAGTGACATTGTATAGGGTTTCAAAGGAACGGCTGGTGGGTTCGAACCACTGACTTTATGGTTAGTAGTCCAGTGCTTATTCTACAGGTCACACCAGGACTCCAGACTTAATAGTTACCACCCACTCCAGAACTGTTGGCCTAATTGTTGTTGTTATGTGCCGTGGAGTTCCACCTCATAGTGACCCTGTACAGGGTTTTGGAGGCTATAAATCTTTATGGGAGCAGAAAGCCTCATCTTTCTCCCAAGGAACAGCTGGTAGTTTCGAACTGCTGACCTTGTGGTTCGCAGCCCAATTCGTAACCACTACACTACCAGAGCTTTTTAAAACTTGAAAAATAGATGTATACCAGATAAATGTTACACTACATATGTCATTCTCTAATTCTGTGGCAGCATGACTTGTTTCTAGGTTTATACCAAAATAGATGTGTAAGAAAATAATATGCTTAACTTTCAATAAAATTTTACTGGAAATAAAAAAAAATTAATTACATTATCAATTATTCATCCTTAATTTACTTCAAAATTTATAGAAATTTTGATAGGGAGATGGACATTTTGTATTTAGACTTAAATATAGGCATACTCTGCTTTTCAAAAGTTTGTTTAATGTCACTTTTCACAAAAGAACTGCAATCGCACATGTTTTACTTAACAAATAAATCTGAAGAGGATTTTCACTTTTACAAAAAAAAGCAAAACTACTGTTCAGTGTTTGCTTTGTAGTGGGAAAGTTCCATTATCTTTCAATTCTGTTAAAAAGACAATGAGCACCTAATCTATGAGTTTGGTATAGCCTAACTCTTTGCTCAGGAACTACACTCTGCATCTTGACATCAACCCACCATAGTTTTGACCTGTGCTTGTGCAGTAGAGAATGCACAAGCATTTTTTTTTTTTTACTATATAAATTAATGGTAATTACTTCTTCACTTTAGGAGCTCTGCTTAATTGCAAGGTCAGCTGTTTGAATCTACCAGCTGCCCTGCAGGAGAAAGATGAGCTTTCTGTTCCAGCAAAGATTTACAGTCTCAGAAACCCTACACAGGTTTGCAGTGCATTGGGACCAACTCCACGCCACGCCACTAACACTTCTTCACTTTTCATCATCTTAGCTTACTACAGATTTCATAGGAACCCTCTACTTTTGGACAGTGGAAGAAATCAATATCCTGACAGGTTAAGGAGACACTTATTTACCAGGTTTGCCTCTTGATGGTTTGAGCTTACGGCGACGTTTAGTTGTAGAAGGAATAGATGTAGTTGGGTGTGGAGCTGAAAAAAGAAGATTTAGTGTAGTTTTGATAAATTATATTTCCTGGAGTCAAACAGTTTGCAACTGTAAACTACTTTTATGTAACTATGGTTTACATTTCTTTGATCTCTAGAGTGCCCACACAATGTTTTAGATTCCATGCTCAGTTAAAAAAAAAAAAAATCTGATTGGGCCAAAATGAACTTAATATCCATATAATTATTAAAGTCCAATTAAATGTACTGAGAAGTGGGCATCATTGAGACATTTTTAAGACACACAGTATAGTTAAGGACTCAAAAGATAATTCATTGGACTACAGGGGCAAAGAACAAAGAAACTATTCAGGATTTAGATAACTACTTTAATTCTGTGGTTCATTACTCTCCTCACCTCAAGTTAATAAACTACTATTCCAATAATTTTCTATTATAAAATGTAGGTTTTGTTACCTCCCTTACCTATCTTTTTCATCATGTGAAGATTACAGAACCTACTTGCTACTCTTTATACTAAAAATATTTTTGGAAAAATACTCTGATACTCTGCCTAAGAGGTATCTACATATGCTAAATAGAAAGAAATATCTTTAAAAATAATTATCATCTATAATTCTACTGGTATTTTCCAGTTGTAAAGTCCCTCTAGCTGGAGGGACTAAAGAAGGGAAATCATTCTTTGAAATAAAGAGACATTAAAATTAAGGAAATTCTTTTAGGATTATCACGAGACTAAGTATGATATATAACCCAGATCTTTGAAAAATGTCATGGTAAGAAATGAAGGGAAACATTTAGTAATGAGAATATCCTCAAAAATTTGAGTTGACTGATTCTTCGTTTTTGCTACTGTATCTGTTATTTCAAAACATATAACTGCACAAATGCCATTAGTTACCAGGTGTTGTAGATTGTATTTCAGGAATGGTTAAGATTTCCAGTTTTTGAGGAACAAATGATGTTTCACTTGGAGCTGAAAATACAAACACCCAACCCACCAAATGTTCCCAGTTAAAATGAGGTATTTTAAGAATTTTAACATGCTTTTAGATGGTACAAAGCACATGCTACAAGTACATGGTTAAGGATGAAAAAATGCAAGTCGTCTTGAGTGCTGGTGGATGAAATGATAACATTAAAAAGGGAAATGGCCAAGGTGAGACTTGTTCAGTAGCTGATTCCAGGCAGACTCAATGCATGGAAATGAGGTGATGCAGGTCACAAGCATAGAAGATGGGAGGATAAAGATGAATAATTCCATGCAGTTGTCAAAAGTTTTCACCCCTTTAATCATGGGAAAAATAATATAGATTATTTTTCTAAAAACAACAACAAACAAAAGAGAGAGAGAAAAAAATGGATATAAAAGATATTGTATGAAAAAAATCCATATATTTAGAAATAGGTGATAAATGCTTAGATGTGATGGAATGGAATTCAATGATCATTTGGAAGAAAGGCATTCACATGGATTTTCTTATGATGGAAAATAAAGTATGATTTTTTTCTGTTAAAAACATTACCCAGTGTTGCCCTTGGCCATTCAAGAGTTCTAGAAGTTTCAGGTGGGATAGAATCCAGAATAGGATCACTTGTTGCTGTTGGAATAAATGTCAACATTTATAAAAGCAGTTGAAGGTCCCAGGAATGAAATACAAACTTGTGAGTAATAAATTATACTTCAGATGGGGAAAAGTATCAAGAACACTTGAGAGAATGCTGACCAACATTTTTAAACTAGTGATTGATTCATATAAGAGTTGAAGATGAGCTCACTGGAAAAACTATACATTCTTTCAATATTAGAAACCATTTTAAATATTTTTTTTTTCTGATCTTTTTCCATTTCATAACTGCTAATGCAAATCACTATTAGCATTCCATTTTATTTTTCTTACCTACACTACTGTTAGAAATTACTTATTTTTTAGCATAACACAAGTAAGGCTACATATTCCCAAAATATCATTTCTAGATATATGTCTGGCAGAGACACTTACTCACTTTGAATCTCCCACAGTAAGTACCTCAGTTGCTGGTGGTGGGTGCCCTCGAGTGGGTTCTGACTCATAGCGACACTGTATAGCGTTTTCCAAGGAGCAGCTGGTGAGTTTGAATGACTGACCTTGCATTTCAAACCGACCTTGAGGTTGAGTGCTTACCCTAGAACGCCACACCAGGGCTCAGTAGATGTTTAATAAATGCCAGCTCAAAGAAACTGTTGGACTGAGTAAAATTCATTACAGATGGATCAGAAGGAAATGCCAAAGATTAGATCTAATTAAACATCTACAGACAAATACATGGTGTGGTCACTTTTTAGAAAGATTTCTCACTTTGGCACTATTGACATTTGAGCTTGACCATTCTTTGTTGCATGGTGGCTCTGTAAGATAAGCACTAGACTTCAAACCACAAGGTTGGTGGTTCTAGTCCACCACCTGCTCCATGGAGAGGAGACTTCCTGCTTCCAAAAGAGTTGCAACATCAGGAACCCTATATGGGTCATTATGCGTTGGAACCTACTCAAGAGCACTTAACAAGATTCTTTACTGGGGGTTGTCCATGCATAGCAGCATCCCTGGTCTCTGCCCACTAGATGTCAGTAGCAACTCCCCCAGTTGTCAGAGCCCAAATTGTCTCTAGGTATTGTCAACATTTCCTGGGTGTGTGTGTCGATGGGGGTGGTGGTGGTAGGGGTGGGGGTGGGGTGATGGAAGGTGGGAAGGAGGAGAAAGGGATAAAATCATTTCCTATTTTAAAAAATTCTCCAATACTGCAAAAACTTCTTAGAATGATTCTGAACTACAAAGTAATGATCTTCAGATACAAGCAAAGTTATCTGCATCTCACACGTGTAACAGAGTTTATTCCCTGATGGATGCAAACACATAACTGGTTAATAACAGGAGGGGGTAGGAAATTTCATCTCCCTGACAGAGAATTCTACTTCTTCCCTGTAGAGCTCTAAAAGTGTACTTTTGCACTCTGCAAAGGAAGACCTAGACTCAGCATTGTCAGAATGCCTATGACCCAATGAACAGAATTGAAAGGCTGGATATACCTGTGTGGGGTTCTGATATTTCAGACTCATCTGATGTTGTGGGACTCGAAAAAACAGGTGGTATGTCATAAATTTCTAAAAAAAAAAAAACATTATAAAACAAAAGACATTAATTTGAAAGCTTTCAGAAGAGGTTTTAAAGTTAGCTGAAAATGATCAGCTTTAAGTAGGTGCCAGAAGGTATGACTTTTCAGTCATGTGTGAGCAATCCTCAAGACTTGTCTTTGATCTTCTTTGCCCTGAACTAAAGCTTTTCTAAAGCGAGTCTTGACACCGGTCTCTGTGAACGTAGAGTTATACATTTATAATGAAGTGGTGCCTACTCTAAATCAAAGAGCTTCTAAGAGTGTAAACATAAATTAAGTCAGGTGGATTTGTGGGTGAGATTGCTAAAATAAAAAAGATAAAAACCAATAATAATGAGGTCATTTACACAAAGTCTACAAAGGATTCCTTCTGCTTAGTAAAAGCTACTGACATGACACCTTATGTTTGGACAGCACTTTACAGTTTGTACAGCACCTTCTCATATTTAATGTATTTAACCTTCTTAAATTCTCCTAGAAAGAGATGACTTTAAGCCTATTTCCAGCCATGGATGTGATAACATCAACTATATCTAATACTAAATACATTAGGATAACTCTACCATCTTGTCTCACACTAGGTGCAGTGCAGTGCAGTGAATTACTTTACATGGCTCTTCCAACCATAGTCTTCGTAACTCGCAACAATGTTTTCATGATAGATCACAGTTAAAAAGGTGTGAGAAGATGCTGATAGGATGATACGATTCAGTTATGATTGTTAACAGAGTTAACTGTGATTGTAAGAACTTAAGAACTCTAATATGGCCCTCTCAGAAGCAGGAGACTCAGGAGTGGAGCACATCCTTTGGACTCTGACTGAGATCCTTACACATTGAAGCTCCCTAACTTTGAAACAGAAAGGTATGACACTGGAGGAATGGCAGAGGTGCAGCAGTTGCAGAACCAAGAATCAGAGCTCAAGGCAGAGTGGTGAGCTTCCCAGTCCACAGAGCAAGGAAAGCTGAGTGACTTTGGACAGGAGGCTTGCTTGTAGAGTGGGTGTCTCTAGGCACTTAGTTGGGGGAGGTAGGTTTGCTATGGACTGCCAAACTAATCTGTGTTGGAAGAAGTGCAGCCAGAATGCTCCTTGGGAGCCAGGATGGCCAGACTTTGTTTCTCATTTGTCAGGCATAGTATCAGGAGGGACCAGTCCCTGGAGAAAGATATCATGTTTAGTAAAGTGGAGGGTCAGAGAAAAAGAGGAAGACCCACAATGAGATAGATTGGCACAGTGGTGGCAGCAATGGGCTCAGGCTTAACAACGATTATCAGGTGGGTGTGGGACTGGGAAATGTTGCGTTCTTTTGTGCACAAGGTGGCTATGAGTCAGTTCCGACTTGATGGCACCTAACAACAACATATTGTCAGAAGAGAACAGTCACTGGAGAAGGATGTCATGCTGGGTAAGATGGAGGGTCAGAGAAAAAGAGGAAGACCCCTAACGAGATGGATCAGCCAGGTGGCATCATTGATGGCATCAAGTGTGGCAGCGGCAGTGAGGTTGGCCAGGATCAGACATTGTTTCATTCTGCTATGCATGGGGTCGCTATGAGTTGGTTCCGACTCGATGGCACCTGACAACAGCAACAACAACAGGTTTGTTGACCGTTGGAGCTACAGCTGTGTGCCTTCAGGCTGAGGCTCATGGTTGAGTGATGTGTCCCATGGGCATTTACCAGCACCCCTAAAACATATTTGCAACATTGCAGGGCAGAGGACATGCCTGTGGACATGACTGATGAGACGCTGTCTTGTGACTGAAAGAAGTGTGCTCTGAGCATTTCTGATCCTGCCTTGTACCCTGTTACATTCCCCAATAAACCCCATAACTGTGAGTACGGCGTCTGAGTGATCTGTGGCCATTGCACTGAATGATCAAATCCAGCTGAGTAGAGAGTGCTGCTGGAGGGAGGATTGGGCTACACTTTTTTATACTAGAGAATAAATGATTAATTAGTAGCTTGACTTTTTTTTTTTTTGCTATTTTTGAAAATTGCCACTACTCCCCCATTTCCCTTCCATCTGATGACATTGGGCCAATTTTCCTTTATTTTATACTTTTTTGGAGAGAGAGATGATATGTATTCATTCCTTTTCTACTTATTTTCCATATTTACAATTCTCTTCCAATCTGGAGTTAAAGCCAGGTTGCTCTCTTCCCTCCAGTTATTCCCAGATGGTACTTCACTAGTCTTCCATCCATCATCCTTTGAAAATTCCCAATTGTCAGGGACCTCTTACTTCAAACATCCCTAAAAGAGACTTCAGAGTAAAAAACACATTTGCCAATAGACTCTGTCTCTGATATTTCTATTTTTGGAATTTCTAAGAGTTAAGCAGCAAAGAAAAAAAGAGTACTAAAGTTCTATAAATACCACCCCTCCCCCCCTCAAATTTTACACTGTTTGGGCAGCTTTGAGAAGCACACGACCACTTCATTTCATTCTTGGGTTAGATGAGACTTTTTTACAATGAAATAATAGTTGTGAGAGAACAATGTCAAAAATGGAGCGCTCTCAAAATCTTTCTAAAAAGCAACAGCTCTTGATTTCTCTACTTGTATTCCTTGTATGCACTTTCACATAACATGCTTAGGCCTCTCTGGTTTTAAAAGAACATTCCAGGCATAAAACTGATAAAAAGCGAGGAGTTAAGGGGTAAGTCCCTCTATTTTTTGACCATTTACCTGTAACTAGACCCTAGCTAGAGGTAAGCACATTCTTTCCTCTATGTATACTTTGGTGGATGAAATTCTCCAGCTATCTGACATTAAGCAGGAACTCTGATCTTGTATTCATAGGACCAAAAGTTGTAGAAGAAATCTAATAAGAAAAAATGGTAGTTCAATTCAAAGTTATATAAAGTACTATTAGGTGCTTTCTTAAAAAAAGAAGTTATAGCTTCTAGTCATGATCACTAAATTTTTCTTCTAGATCTTTCAAATAAAACATATGTGTTCTGGAACTACCATCTGATACTTGATAACTTTGCTTTGTGACTTTGTAAAACCACATTGGTGGAATTATGCTTCATTGATTGTACTTTATTTTTCTTGACTGATTAAATGCCATTTCCACAACAAAAATACTCTAATGTTGCTCTGGAAATACAAAGGGGCTTCAAAAAGTTTGTGGAGAAAAATCCATGATCTTTTAATTCTATTTTTTCACTAATTTTTGAAGCCCCCACATAGATGACAACACCAATCAATCAAGAATTTATTCCTTTGTTTTATTCTAATATCATGAATTTGAGTAATTTATGGGAAAGACTTTCCTTTTTCAAATTAATTTCTCAGATGAAAGACACAAGAAATAGTGTCTGTTGTGCTCTTCCACACTCCAAGATTTATTTATTCCAGAGCCAGGCATAGACTGGATTCTCAATATACAAGATGCCCATTACAATGAGCAAATGGTAGGAAGCATGACAATGTGATATTTTAAGCTCCTAGTAAGGATACCTAACTTGGTAACTTTTAAAGAGTAAATGGCTATGTACTTTAATCATTATATGATGCACATATGTGTGTACCCAAATCTCTTCCTCTACTACTCAACCACCTTGTCATATGGCTACACCCTACCATAGAAATAGCATGACAACTACTTTATATGCCTAAAAAACACACATAAAGTAACCATGAAAAAAAATAAAACCAGAACATCAGGAAGTCACTGAAAGAGAACAGCACTTAACACCACACACAGAGTTCTCAGTACCATTTAAGCAAATTAATAATGCTTTCTTCAGCTCAAGGAAAAATAAAATCTCTTTCTGGTAGGCTTTGCAATTTATGAAAATTTTGCTTGCAAGAAAATGCTCATGAAGTAAAACCAAAGGTTGAGACTATAAATCTCTGTGAGGCCACGATAAATGTGTAAACCATCTGCTACACTTAAATTCCATGTTACTGTTCTCAAAACATCAACACTACTACTTTTTCTTCTCTCTAGGGAGGAGAAAATCCAGTTGGGTGGGCCAGAACTGTGCTAATCAACACCTCACAGGGCAGGCAGTAATGTCCAAATGTAGAGATTACCTCCTTACGATTGCTGTGTGCAAATCACCCAGGGCCAACTTTCTAAGCAGTATACCACTCCATGTACACATGATCACGCTAACCTTAAAGTTATTAAGTTGTAGACTTAAGTACATCTTGTAATTTGCTTTGTAATTTGCTTAAGTTCTATAAATTACTGAAAGAATTTAACACTGAAAATAATTAGTGGTAAATTCCTAAGGCAGCCCCAAAGTGGATTCTAACAAAAAGACAGAAAGGCCAGTCATTCTCAGCTCTGATGCTGTCATGTTGTTGTTGTTAAGAGAAAATGAGTCAGTTCTGACTTAGTGACCCTGTATAGGGTTTCGAGGAGTGGCTGGGGAAGTTTGAACCACTGACCTTGCAGTTCAAATGGACCTTGTGGTCTAATGTTTATCCTATAGCACCACACACACCAGACTGCTAAACATAATTGCTTTTTGCTCAAAATTGAATAAAAATTATTATTTTACCATAAGAAGTCTTAGTAATACATCAGGGTAATTTGGAGGAAAATCCAATGCAGGAAGGGGCATCACACCATTCCCATGGGTTTGCAGGGACTCTGAGAATAACACTGTACACATTAGTTTTTCTCCCAACAAATTTTAATACAAGTGAAATGAAATTCTAATGATCATTTTATCTGCCGACATATGTATTAGCTGTAGAGTCTTTTTCTTCTTACTACTTTATCCCTTTTGCTTATTAATTCACAACAGTTGTTATTTCCTGTATGCAGCAGTTCAAGGGACTTTGGGATGGGCAAGGGAATGCATGCAAATGCTGGAGTCCATTGTGTTGAGGAAACCATAATTAGGCATTTACTGCTGATCTCACTGTCAGCAGTTCCAAACTACCAGCTGTTCCTCAGGAGAAAGATGAAGCTTTCTGCTCCTGTAAAGATTTACAGCCTCAGAAACCCTGTGCAGGGTCATTGTGAG